AAAGAGAAAATAGTCTGCTTTGATCTGCAGTCAGACTCCATAGTTGTTTCTCTGCATGTGGACAGCATTTTCTCTCATGAGTCTTTTGGAATCGTCTTAGATCCTTATGTTGTTGAGAAGAGCTAAGTCTGTCAAAGTTGGTCATTTCACAACGTGGCTGTTACTGTGTACAGCGTCCTCCTGGTTCTGCTTGCTTCACTCAGCATCAGTTCATGTGAGTCTTTCCAGGTTTTTCTGAAGTCTGCCTGCTCATCATTTCTTATAGCACAATAGTATTCCATTACATTCATATACCACTGCTTGTTCAGCCATTCCTCTGGGCAGCTTTTGAGGCCACTGATCCCTCCTAGAGGCAGCTAGATGGCATGGCAGATGGAGTGCTAGGAATAGGGTTAGGAAGACCTGAGTTCAAATCCTGACACTTCCTAGCTGTGTAATTCTGGGCAAGTCACTTAACCTCTGTCTGCCTCTGTTTTCTCACCTGTAAAATGGGCATCATAATAGTACCTACCTCTCACAGTAGTTGTGAGGGGTGAGATAATATTGGTAAAATGCTTAGCACAGTGCCCGGCTTGCTTACTCCCTTCACCTTTCGCCCATGCAAGAAGCCTTTCCAGAATGGCTGGGCTAGTTCCCAGCTCCACCAGCAGCACATCCAGGGAGCCTGTCTCCCCACGTCCCCTCCAATACCCATCACGTCAGCCCATCTGATGGCACCTCAAGGTTCTAGGCATTTCCATTTCCTTCCAGGCACCCAGCTTCAAAACCTCCTCACTCTCTCTGATCTAGGCCAGTGCTCAATTTTGTTTCTCCCCCACATCAACCAGGCGGGCCTGGTACAGACCCCCATCACCTCTTACCTGGACTGCGGCACTGTCTCTCCCCACTCCAGTCCATCCTTCACTCCCTTGTTAGCGCATAGATCGGATTATGTCAGCCCCTCCTGGCCCTGAACTAGATAAACTGCAGTGGCTCCCCATTCCTTCCAGGATTAAATAAAACAAATCCCTTGTGTGGCAGTTAAGGCCCTACACAATCCGGCCACTCTGGCCTCCTTATGGTTTCTCAAATAGACCATGTCCTCTCTCAGCTCTTCGCCTTTGCAGAGGTGTCTCCTTAGCCTGGAATGCTCTCCCTTCCACCTCAGGTCCTGGAATCGCTGGTTTCCTTTCATGCCCCCCTCATCCCCCTAGCTGGTGCCATCCCTCTACTCCTCTGTGTGTGTGTGCGCGTGAGTGCTGATTTCTGTGTTGTTCCCCGTTAGAACCTAAGCTCCTCGAAGGCAGGGATTATCGATTTTCTTTGTGTCCCCAGAGCTCAGCACACCACTCAGCACAGAATAAGCACTTAATAAATGCTTGTGGATTGATTGATTGGTTCCTTAGGTATCAGCATAGCTCCTTGGCTTTCTGGCTTAGCGATCATCTCATCCAATCACGTCATTTTATAGATAAGGAAACTCAGTCCCTGAGAAGGAAAGTGGCTTATCCAACGTCATGCAGATAGTAACAAACTGACCCTCCGCCAACTCTTTTCCCACCATTCCTGTGCGTCCTCCGTAAGATAGATACTGAGGGCACCGCAGTATAAGCAGTCCGAATCTGACTTGCACTGGTTTCCTTAAACCTACTGGATGACAGCATGTCTCTATGTTAATTCTCCACCCAGGGAGCCCCATACCTGAATTGTCCACCAGGCGGAATTTTCTTTGAGCTATTAACCCAGCAGCCGCTTCAGTACCTTTCCGGGGAAAGTGGAAGTCTCCTAAAAGGCTGATGTATTCCCATTGACCACCAGAGGGCAGTCAGCTGGTAAACATCTACGCTGCCTTCTCCCTGCTCCAGCTTCAGGCAGAAACTGTGCTTAGCCGTTTAAACGGAGCTAACAAGGTTCAGAACTTAGGGCATGAGACAGAATATTGCTTAATAGGGTGGGTTCATCTCTCTAAAGGCATGCCCCATCACACCCAAAAGACTCAGGCGCTCAACGTCGTGGGCCACGAAGTGTACTGAACATAGCAAAACCCAAAGGAGAAAGGTAACCTTTGTCTCTCAGAACCTCCGCCCTCTGGCTCTCCCAGATCTGCCAGCTTCGGAGGTTGGGAAAAGAATCCTTGAACCGCCTACCTCCACGGACCACTGAAAGGAATAAAGGAAGGGGTTGTGTGTGTCCCTAGGCCCCCTCGAAGGATCTCGTCTATAATAAGAGAAGCGGGCAAAGACAGAGGAGGCTGGCTGTCTTGCTTTCCTTGGGCCATCTCTGCCTCTGCCCAGTATCAAATAATTCCTCCTGGGCTAATCACCATCACCCAGGTCCCTGGCCACTTGAGCCTCTGGCCACAGCCCATCTTCCTCAGGGAAGCTTCAAAATCTCAGTCCAAGTACGGGGGCTGCATTATCCCCGTGACCAGGGGCCACCAGGCAGTGCGGATCTCAGGGGAGGATCTGGGGGAGGAAAAGAGAGACAGCCCGTTCTGGACACCAGTAAGGAGATCTTTTCCCTTAGAGCTAGCAGCTTACCTGCTGCCAGATCCCTTCCCTCAGACAGCTGGGGCCAGGGTTGGGGGGAATGACAGTCAGTGGAAACGGAACTTTTGATCTCCCTGCAGCACCATCATCGGCAGGGGAAGAAGCAGTAATTCATAAGGGAAGAGGGCAAGACCTGGGCTGGGGTTGCACAGGTTACTAATGCTGGTGCTGCGGTGAAGGGAGGGATGAGCCAGTTATCTAGCATTGAGCGCCTGCTCTGTGCCAGGCGCTGTGCTAAGTGCTGGCATATAAAGACAGTCCGTGCCTTCCAGAAGCTTACAGTCTGATGGGGCAGACACGGCAAACCACTGCGAAGGGGCAAGCTAAAGACAACTCAGCACAGCCCGGGTCCGACATCTCTTGGGGATCGTTGGAGGGGGATGGGCAAGGATGCTCAGGTTCCGGTTTGTGGTGTGTCCTTCATTACTGGTGGGAATGGGTTGGGTTAACCTGGTTCCACCTGGCAGCTCCACAGGCACCTATTATAGGGCTGGCAGGGGGGATCCTGGCACTCCGTGGCCATGAGGACGAGGTGCTGTAAGTAGCCGTGGAAAGAGCCAGGAGTCCGGAAGCCCTGAGTTCAAATGCAGGTCCTTCCTAGGTTGGTGACCCTGGGTAGGTTATTTAACTTCCAGCTGCCTCGGTTTCCTCATCTGTAAAATGGGGATAAGAGGTCTGGTGTGGGGATCCAATGTGCTATTTCTAAAGCGCCTGGCACATACCAAGCGCCACATACATGTCAGCCGTTGTTTGGGGAGAGGACCATGACATCGAGAGGGGATGCCTTGATTTGGAGGCAGAGCTTCACCAAGTCCAGAGTCATGGAAGTCCCGGGCAGAACAAAAGTCAGGAGGCCTGGCCCTTGGAACAAACCTTCTCATCCGCCCAAGGGGAGGCTTCGCACCTTGGGCCAGGCACCCCTAACTCCCCGCAGGCGTTGACACCCACAGGCTGCCCTCAACCAAGCTGGGCCCTCTGCCCAGCGGCCGGTGCTTGTGCTGCAGCTTCTTGGAGCCACAGGGGAGAGCTGGGCAGCAGGTGGACCCCAAAGGTGGACGAGCAGGGGCTGGTCCTCCCTGAACTCCCCGGTGAGGCCCTGGGGACCTCTTGGGTTTGATTTGGGGGCCCACCGATATATCCTGCTGGCCAGTGGCAGGGTTAGGGACATCCTAGAGCTGAGCTGGGTGCGGGTCGTCATTAATAAATGCGGTTCAGAATCCCAAGGATTCACCCACCTTAGGTCCGACCTTGCTGCGGATCGTTACTAATATATATGGGCGCGGGGGGGGGAGGGGGGTAGAGAAACCTTAGGTCTGATCTTAGTGCGGATCGTTACCGATATATGCGGCCTACAGGGTGGGGCAGGGGCACCTTAGGTCTGATCTTAGTGCGTGTGGTTACTAATATATACGGACCGGGGAGGGGGAGGGGGGCAGAGAAACCTTAGGTCTGATCTTAGTGCGGATCGTTACCGATATATACGGCCTACAGGGTGGGGCAGGGACACCTTAGGTCCCATCTTAGTGTGTATCTTTACTAATATATACGGACGGGAGGGGGTGGGGGACAGGGAAATCTGAGGTCCGATCTTGGTACTGATCGTTACCAATTTATACGGCCTACAGGGTGGGGCAGGGACACCTTAGGTCTGATCTTGGTGCAGATCGTTACTAATATATACGACCGACGGGTGCGGGGCAGGGACACCTTAGGTCTGATTTTGGTGCGGATCATTACTAATACATATGGCTGGACTGGGAGGTAGAGGGAGCGTCGTTACGGATCACTACGGCCGAGCTGGGGGCCGCCCAGCCCCGCCGCCTCTACTCCCGCAGAAATTTCCCCACCTCGGCTCGGCCTGTCGAAACCGAAGGAAGCGCGGGGTACCCTCGGCTCCCCGCGCCCCTCCCCCGCCCTCCCCCTTGCCGGGCACGCGCGCCGGCGCTCGCTCACGCGGACGGGCGGGGAGGGCGGCGCCGCGAATGGGCGCGAGCTCCGGGGCGGCGTGGGCGCCGAACCTCATTGGACGCTCGGGGGCCCGGTCGGCCAACCGGCGAGGGCCCGGAGGGGCGGGGCGGGCGCCGTGCCGGCGCCGCGCACGCGCAGACGGCGCCCCCGGAGAGGCTGGGGAGGTGGCCGGCCGCCCGCCATTTTGTTGCTGTGGCTCTCGGGAAGCAGGGCTGCGGTTGAGCCGAGAGGGCCGGCGGGCGGCGGGCGGCGGGTGGCGAGGCGGCGGCGGCGCGGAGCGGCGGGGCCCGGCCCCGGCGCGCGATGGTGCGGGCGCGGCGGCGGCGGTGCCGCGGGCGAGGGGCGGGCCGGGACCTCTGAGGGCGCGAGGGCGGCGGAGAGGCGGCGGCCGGGCGAGGCGCGGGGAGCGGCCCCCTCGGCGGAGCGGCGGCGGCCCGAGATCGCCAGCGGGCTTCCGTAGCCGGCGCGCGTCCCCGGCGCCCGGTGTCGCGCGGCCTCGCGGCGGCCCGGAGCGGCGGCGGCGGCGGCGGCGGCCATGGCGGCGGCGCGCTTCGACTCGGCCGACCGCTCGGCCTGGTACGTGGGCCCTCTGTCGCGGCAGGAGGCGCAGGGCCGGCTGCAGGGCCAGAGGCACGGCGTCTTCCTGGTGCGCGACTCGTCCACTTGCCCCGGCGACTACGTGCTGTCCGTGTCCGAGAACTCGCGCGTGTCCCACTACATCATCAACTCGCTGCCCAACCGGCGCTTCAAGATCGGCGACCAGGAGTTCGAGCACCTGCCGGCGCTGCTCGAGTTCTACAAGATCCATTACCTGGACACGACCACGCTGCTCGAGCCCGCGCCCAGGTGCGCCGGGGAGGGGGAGGGGGCGGGGGGCCGGGGGCTCCGGGGTGACCTTGGGCCGCGCTCGCTCTGCCCCCTGAGCCGCCGGGCCGAGCCCCCAGGTGGGCAGGTCCCGGCCGGCCTCGCGATGCTGGCACTGGCACCCAACCCCGGTCGGTCGGGTGATGGGGGCCCGTGCCGACAGGCGAGAAGGTGGAAGATTGTCTGGCGAGGCTACCGGGGGGCGATCGGGGAAGCCTGTGCTCCGCCTCTAGACCTGGTGATCTAGAATGAGTTTGGACTAGACGGGCCCGCTGCTCGTTTTCTGAGTGACCTTGGATAAGTCATTCTCCCCAGGGCTCTTTCAGTCAATAAACATGCTCTGTACCGCACACAGCTAAGCTGGAGATACAAAGGGGCGAATTCTAATTGGTGAAATGCCAAGCAAACGTGTGCAAACATCCCATAGGTATGCAGGATAGGCATTAGAATTAAGGGGAGGGGAAGGCTTCCTGTAGGAGGTAGGATTTTAGCTGGGGCTCAAGGCAGGGAGATCAGTAGTCGAGTGGACAGAGGAGGGAGGGCATTCCAGACTTGGGGGACAGCCAGGAAAAGTGCCCGGAGCCCAGAGATGGCTGGTCTTGTTCAGCTGGAAGAAGAGGTATTGGGGAATAAGGCGTGAGGATCCTGGAGAGGTCCGAGGGGGCTGGGTTATGAAAGGCTGGGAACACCAAACAGCGTTTTATATTTGCCTGAAGTGGCTTGAGGCAGGCAGACCCTTCCCCCCACAACCCCCCCTCCCAGCAGCTATGGCAGTAGTCCAGGCCTGAGGTGATGAAAGCCTGGGGGGGGCAGGGTTAGAGGAGAGGAGAGGGCTTGTTCTGAGGGATGCTGCGGAGGTGAACTCTGTAGGCCTTGGCAACAGCCTGGAAATGAGGAGTGAGAAAGAGTGAGGGGTCCAGATGACTCCTGGGTTGGGCGATTGGGGCAGGGAGCGGGTTAGAGAATAAGGTAATGAGTTCAGACGTCTAAAAAGCAGTTGGAGATGAGAGATTGGGGCAGCAAAGTTAGAACTGAGAGGCATCAGCAGAGAGATGGTAATAAATCCATGGGAGCTGAGGGGCAGAGGGCCCAGGCCAGAGCCTCGAGGGACACCTGTTGTCAGAGGTCACGATCTGGAGGAAGATCCAGCAAAGGGAGCAGAAGGAGCGGTCAGAGAGGGAGGGGGGAGGAGAACCAGGAGAGGGGGATGTCCAGAAAAGGAAGAGGGAAGAGAATGCCAAGGAGGAGGTGGCGGTGGACGGCGTCCGAGGCATCTAAGAGATGGTTTGTTTGGTCACTTCGGAGAGGGCAGTTTCCATTGAAGGGTGAAGGTTGTAAGAGAAGTGAGAGCAGAGCGAGTGGAGGCCCTTAGGGTAGGGGACCTTTGCAGGGGTTTAGCCTTGGGGACGGAAGGATCCAGTGGGGGTTTTTCCAAGGTGATGGAGACGTGGGCATGTCTGTAGGCCGAAGGGAATGGGAGGGTTTGAGGAAGGATAAAAAGGTTTACGGCAGGTATAGAAAGATTGCCTGACAGCAGTGAGGGCCCAGAGGAGGTCTGGTTACAAATTGTAGTGGATCCAGTCAGAGCAGGTAGAAGGAAGGTGGCAGATGGTGAGATGGAGCTTTCCTCTCTTGTAAATGAGAGGTCAGACTGGAAGGCCTCAAAAGTTTTTTTTCCCCCCAGTTCTAAATTGGGAGAAACGTCTATTTCTTTTTGGAAATTTTGATCTGGAGAGTGACTGGGAAGTCCTCTGTGTTTGGACAAGCTTATCAGGAAGGACCCTTTTCTGGTGCTCATTCATTGCCCGTGAATCTGTGATAGGTTTCCCCCACTACCAGTTTTTGGAAATGAGAGTGAGTGAGTGATGCAAGGTTTGCAGCTTGGCCCCTGACATGGATTAGATAATTGCCTGGGGAGCCACGCCCTCATTTCACCTCGGTGGAAGGAGGAGTGCGGTTCTCAGCCATGCAGAGCTGGGCATCATGGGAGCCAGTTCCAGTCTCCTGGCTCCTTTGTCCCGCGCTCTTTCCACTGCCTGGCCTGGCCTCGCTAAACGTTTCTCTGATTTTTCTTTCTTGAATGTGGGATAGGGGAAAGAGCAGGCTTTTGAGATTATAGAATCGAAGGGGCTGCATAAACGCAAGGGTGCTGCTTGGCCTAGGCGCCAGGAGGGCCTTTTAGGACTAAAGGCTAAGTCCCCTAGCCCTTCCCAGCTGTGAAATGAGGGCGTTCCACTTCCAGGATCCGTGGGGCCCTTCTGCCCTCTGTGTCTTCTCTTGCGAGAGGCCTGGGGAGTAAGAGTGTTCCTTGAATGTTGTTTGCTAAGTGGTTTCTTTGGACTGGTATGGGGAATGGCAAAGGCCTTCCTTGTGGGAAGTGACATTCATTGAATCTCCCACCGTTGTGGTATTTTCTTTGCCATCGTGGCTGGTCCTACTAGGATCTGAGTTGTCAGTGAAGTCAGACATTAAGAACACTCTTTAGATTGGGAGTTGGAGACCCCACTGTACAATTTATTAACTGTCTGACCAATCAGCAAGCATTTATTCAGTGCCAGGCGTGATGCTGGGGCACTGAGGAGACAAGATGGTGGGCAGGCGGATGGTGCATTGGGTCGAGTGCTGGGTTCAAGTCCTGTCTGTGACCCCGGGCCAATCACTTCGCCTGGTCTTTGCCTCCGTTACCTCCTCTGAAAAATGAGCATAAGAACACCTACCTCCAAGGGTGGTGGGGAGGACCGAATGAGATAAAAATTGTAGAGGGCTAAATGCTGTATAAATGTTAGCTGTTGTTATTTTCATTCATTCATTTGTTTATTTAGTGAGGCGTTTAGGGTTAAGTGACTTACCCAGGGTCACACAAGTCAAGTGTCTGAGGCTGGGTTTGAGCTCAGGTCCTCCTGACTTGAGGTCTGTGCTCTATCCACTGCGCCACCTAGCTGCCCTGCTATTGTTATTTTTAAAGATCAGATTACACCTAATGGGAACACCTCCTGACACCCCCTCTCAGAGCTCTATCAGTACCAGCTTTTTTGGTTGTCCTTGCTAGGCAGATAGCATGCAGTTACACAGAGGCCAAAGTGGAGAGGCACTGACATACTGTGGGGCTTGGGAAGGGTGACGCTTAGGCTGGTCTTGTAAGCTTGGGCTTCCGAGAGTCAGGAGTAAGGGGGGAGAGCATTCTGAGCTGGGGTGAAAGATGAAATGTGGGGCAGGATGACCAGTGAGCAGAGAGGCCAGTTTGGCAGGGGGAATAGAGAGCGGGATGGCATTGGCCTGGAAGGAAGGGCCTGAAGATGAGTGACACGGCCAGGCCTCTGGTCTGGGAGCCTTTAGAATGGTGGTGTTGGACTCTGTGATTTGTGGCTTTGTGGTTCCTTAGTTAAATCAGATTCTAATTGTCTGCCATCACTCTCTCCTTTGGGTCCCCAACTGGAGAATTGCCAAATGAAAGTAGATTTCAGTGCAGAAGTAAAAATCTGGATTACCTGCCTATCCCCATGGATTTTGGATTGGTGTCTGCATAAGGAATTTGCTCTGGGCTGTCCTGTATTGGAAGGCCTTTCCTCTACTATCTTACTCCAAAAGTGCATGGCCTAAAAGATGAGCAGGGTGGCCTAATGCCAGGGCCTGATTAAATGCTTGTTTCAGAAATTGGGTTTTTTGCACAGGGAACCTTTTTGGCAAGCCAAGTTATGATCAGAATAGAAACGATGTTAATTCCGCTTTGTGTAGTGCTTTTCAGCTTTACAAAACTTGTTTTCTTCACCAGAAACCCAGTGTTATGGGGAGAGAACCAAGGCCCAGGTAAGTGACTTGCTTAGGGACACAGCTGGTGGCAGGGGAGCATTCTGATGCAAAAATTAGACTGCCTTGCTTCACTCCGGTGATTAATTTATCAGTTAGAGTAGTTTGTTCTCAGAGGTGGGCTTGTTCACCCAGTCCCCTCCTCCAGTTTGTCCCAGCTGCCCATCTGGTGATGGGGAGCTCACTGCCTCTGCATCCTCAGGGCCGGCCAATCCATGCTGGTACAATTCCGGTGAGTTTGGAAAGGAGCTCTTTGTTTCAGGGAGCCTCCCTCTTCCTCCCGGACTTTGTAGTCAATTTCCGTTCAGTTCTGCAAACATTGGTCCATGCCCTATGATGTCCAAGGAGGGTACAAAAAAGATGAACAGGCCCTGGCCTCTGGGAGCTTTCATTCTACACAGAGGAAAAGCATTCACCGTGTGGGAGAGGGGATCAGTTTGGGGTGTAGAAGCTACATGGAAGGTGAATGCCCTGGTTAGGGGCAGCTCCTAATGGCGCTTTGTCTGTGGACTGGAGGCAGGAAAGGGAGGTTGGAGCCAGAATGTGGAGGGCTTTGAATGCTGAGCAGAGGAGGTTGGAGCTGATCCCAGAGACGACAGGGGGCTGCTCTTTTCCTCCCTCCATTGATCAAGTTCTGTCATCTGCGGGCCCCTTCTGCTCTGGAAGACAGTTGTCATCTCTAAAGCTTTTCTTGAGACTCAGGCAGCCCTGGTTTGCTCAGGGAGACCCCAGGATCCCAAGTGAAAGCTGGCTGCCCCCTCCTGTTGCATTCATGTTGCCTGACTCCATACAATCCAATGTTAACCCTGGGCAGGCCTGGGATTGGAGCGAGTCTGCTGTGGAAGTTCAGTGTTGCCCTCATTGTCCCAGAGCTAGAGCCTTGAGCCTACAAAGAGCTTAGGCCTGGTGCAGGGAAAATGCCCCAAGTTTGATGGGGGCCCAGGTACTGTTGCATCTTTATTTCAGGGCTGATGAAGTAAAATTCTCAGGAGAGCTTGTGTTGCTTTGTTCTGCAGGTTTCCTGGGTACATTAGTCAAAGAGCTAACGTTTGGCTATAGACCTGTGAAGGCCCCTACCTCCCCCCAGATGCCATTTTAGTTTTTAAAACCATTGCCTCAATCAGACAACACAATTTTATTAAGGACCTACTGTGTGTGGGAGCTCTGTGTTGGGG